TTCTGTCAAAGGAAAATCTTCGGGCAATGCTACGTGTTGTCCTTGAGCACACAGAGGATTTTACTGATTCTGCTTATACGAGCCACGAGAATAGAGAGCGCATCTTGGAACTGTCCAAGCAAGGAAAGATGGAACTGGAGCAGCTGGTGTCAGCGTGGATGTATGCTGTAAGATTTTTTCTTTTCCCCACCCCTAGCATTGCTGATTCATTTACGTTTGCTTGAAAAGAAATACACTTCAAGGGCAATTGGCAGAGAACAGCTTATTTGATAACCCTAATAACATCCCATTACAATATTGCAAACATCATAAGTTAATTATAATCCTTGCCGTTGGTTTTTTAAAACTTCGTTTTGTTTAGTTGTGTTTTGCAGTCGTTTACAAAACCAGATATAAACACACACTAATAATTGGAGATGCACAGATACACACACACACAACACACTTCTCACTATTGGCTAATATAGAAAAATAGACTTGTATTGGACATATTTGTTTGTCCTCTGGAGTCTGATTAACCTTTCCATTAACATTGGCTTGGTAGCCCCCAACATATGGTTTGGGAGCACCAGATGTTGCAGCATGGCTTAATGCTAAATAGGTGTGAATCTGGCCCCTTGGATGGAGGCCGGATTAAGATGGTTGGGGGCTTTGGGTGCAGGTTCCCAAAATAGGGCCACTTTCCCCCCAAAGTAAACATAGAATAATGTACCACAAAATAAGACTCATGGTATCTTGAAGACAAACAAATTTTTATCTTCAGGTTTATGGTCCAAACTTTCATGAGCTAAAAATAAATAAATATTCGTGAGCATGTACAGTTTTGCATTTAAATCCACATAACTCAATGTTTTGCTCACTTGGGTCAATATCCAACTCTCGGCCTAACCTGCTTCACCTGTTGTGAAGACACAACAAAAGGTGTAAAATGGCGGCACAATGGGTTGCTTGTGTCATAGGCAACAAATTTTGGTTCCTTTAAACCAGAGTGATGCATATTTGTAACTATAAAGGACCATTATTTTTCTGACGCCCACCGCCACCCCCAGTCTTAATCTGGCCTGCTGGTTGGTTGCTTTTAGATCTGTAAGTCCAACTTGTAAAAATCGTGTTTGAATTGAGCTTACCCCTAGGTTAGTTTGCACAGGGGGTTGATTCCTCATTGGACTGGGAGTGGGGACTGCGGAACGTAGAGCGATCTTTTCATTTTATAAATGTTTTTGTTTTACTTTTTACTATTTTACCAATGGACTGTGGGCCACACCTCCAGTAAGTAGACATGGTCTGTTTCTTCCCCAATCTGTCATTTACAGAAAACCCTGCAGGGTAGGTTTGGATAAGAGAGCAAGAGAGCAAGGTCACTGATGCAACATAATGTCATAGGTTTCCAGGACGCTTACCTTTTATGCTGCACTGACTTACACAATAAACAGAAGGGACGTGGGTGGGCGTTGTGGTCTAAACCACTGAGCCTCTTGGTCGGTGGCTCAAATCCCCGCGACGGGGGTGAGCTCCCGTTGCTGTCCCCAGTTCCTGCCAACCTAGCAGTTCAGAAGAACACCAGTGCAAGTAGATAAATTGGTACTGCTGCGACGGGAAGGTAAACGGTGTTTCCGTGTGCTCTGGTTTCCGTCACAGTGTCCCGTTGTGCCAGAAGCGCTTTAGCCCTGCTGGCCACATGACCCAGAAAGCTGTCTGTGAACAAACGCCGGCTCCCTCTTCCTGAAAGGGAGATGAGCGTCGCAACCCCATAGACACCTTTGACTGGACTTAACCATCCAGGGTTTTACTTTTTTTAAAAAAACACAACAAGCAAGTCACATGGTCAGGACTGGCTAACAAATTCTTGTCTAACAGAAGCAAAGTGGATTGCTCTATATCTTTAATTCTGTGACAGAGAAGCATGCCGGAAAAAGCAGAACGTATATAGTCGAACCCTAGTATCATGGAATTGTAGTGTTAGAAGAGACCCTGAGGGTTTAGGGAATTTTTAAATATTTAATGCTGTATTGTTTTTAACACTCGATTGGAAGCCGCCCAGAGTGGCTGGGGAAACTCAGCCAGATGGGCGGGGTATAAATTATTATTATTATTATTATTATTATTATTATTATTATTATGCAGGAATTCCTGTTCCTGCTTACTCAAAGAAAAGTCTCACTTTGTTCAGGGAGCTTAACTTCCAAATCAGTATGCATAGAGCTGCACCTTTTACTTGCAAACCCATGTTTGAATTATGATTATGACGATGAATTGTTTAAACGACCGAATTGCCTAAAAACCCATCCTGTGGGATTGGGAATTGTTTCTCTCCAGCAAAGTCAGAGGAAAAAGGATGTCACGGAAGACCTGGAAGTAGCGATATTAAAAATGTGTCAGTGTATGACCGAGCTTCAGAGAGAAGTAAGTGCAATTCAGTATAATCTGCAGTAAATTTCGGGAGCTTCTTGGGCTTTGATATGTGTAACTTTCTGAAAACCAAATCCTTGGCTCAGCAGATGTGATGGTAGTTCCAACTAATTGAATCTACGACTTGAGCCTTTTTTTATATTGCAAGATATAGGTAGGTAGCCATGTTGGTCTGCTGTAGTCGAAACAGAATTAAAAAATTCCTTCCAGTAGCACCTTAGAGACCAACTAAGTTTGTTATTGGTATGAGCTTTCATGTGCATGCACACGAAGAAGTATCTGAAGAAGTGTGCATGCACACGAAAGCTCATACCAATAACAAACTTACCGTATTTTTCGCTCTATAGGACGCACCTTGTTTTTAGAGGGGGAGAACAAGAAAAAAAAATCTCCCCCTCTGCTCAGCGCACCTTCAGCGAAGCGGCAGGAGAAACGGAGCCCCCTCCATTTCTCCTCCCGCTTGGCTGAAGGGGCGCTGCGCAGCTCTCCCTTTCTGCTGAAGCCAGGAGAGTCTTGCTCTCCTGGCTTCAGCAAAAGGAACCTGAAGCCTGCGGAGCGCAGCGGGAACTCACGCTGTGCTCCGCAGGCTTCAGGCGGCTGTCCCTGAAGCCTGGAGAGCTAGAGGGGTCGGTGCGCTTCTGAGGCTTTATGTTGCTATCGCTGAAGTCAAGGAGCCTGCATTCGCTCCATAGGACGCACACACATTTCCCCTTAATTTTTGGAGGGGGAATAGTGTGTCCTATAGAGTGAAAAATACGGTAGATGGTCTCTAAGGTACTACTGGAAGGAATTTTTTTAGTTTATATTGTGAGGTTATCTTGAAGTAATTACCTGCATAGAAGCCTGCTAGCATGACCTGAATACAAGAACACACATTGCTAAGTAATATTTTAGAATTCGGCCTGTCATGGCTCGGGTTCATTCTTCTTATGTAATCTATTGCCCAGTCAATGCTCTGGTAGCACCTTGAGCTGTGGCATTATTTAACCTAAGTGCCGGTCAGGGTGTTTCTGGGAGCCCCAGGTAAGCTGCTCTGAGCCCACTTTAGGTAGCACAGCTAGACACATGTATGGAAAAATAAGACACATCAGTTTACAGTTAAACACAACTACCAGTAATGGAGGGAAGGTTGGGTTGGAGATGCTTAACTGACCTGGGAGCTGAGTTGCTGCTGCTGACTGGGAGGGATGTTTCGGTGATGAAGGCAGCTCAGCGCAAGTGCTCTGGTGGAGCCAATCCAGTGTTCCTGTTCTGGTGGAGCCAATCCAGTGTTCCTGTTGTTGTGCGGGCACAACAATGTCCCCAATGCACTGCTGCCTCACCCCTCGGCTTCTGGGGAGCCAACAACAACTTTGGGAGGTCGGGCAAACATCTCTGCTCCACCACGGTCTGTGAGACTGATCGCAGTTCTTCAATTCTTTTTTTGTGATGAGGAATTGGAAAAAGAATGATGCGTAATGATGGAAGTTTTGTACATCTCGCCCAGTCTTAATTTGCTCTGAATTGTCCACCACAGGCAATCTGGTGTTGTAACCTACTGGTTTCTTTCTTTCTTTCTTTCTTTCTTTCTTTCTTTCTTTCTTTCTTTCTTTCTTTCTTTCTTTCTTTCTTCTCCTCCTTTCTTTCTTTTTCTTTCTTCTCCTCCCCCCCAAATATATATATCAAAGCTTCACAGTGCAGCAACATCTGTCGCAGCAGACGTGATAAAATACCATTCTGATCACCTTGTTTTGAAAGCTCTGAAAATCTGCGGGACAGAAGGAAACATAGAAGCAGTTGCAGAACACAGCTGTAAGCTCTCTGAACAGAAAGAACAGTTGATTGAAGTAAGTTGGCGTCATGTTCATGAACATGTTCAAAAATGCTTTAATATTAAGATTTAAAGCGGTCTTGAGTTTTTGTCAGTTTGGGGCACACCTGTGAAATGTGTGCAGGTTCCGACTCCACAAACATGCCCATGCCCACACCCCAGGGTTGGGGCATCAGTTGACTAGGTTGTTAGGCCTTGCAGTACCACGGTTCTCAAGTTTGCCTGTTCTGTGCTTTGCCTGGACTCAGGGATGGGGGAGCACATTAACGTAAAGGTAAAGGGACCCCCTGACCATTAGGTCCAGTCGTGGCTGACTCTGGGGTTGCGGCGCTCATCTCGCTTTATTGGCCGAGGGAGCTGGTGTACAGCTTCCAGATCATGTGCTAAACCGATCATGTACAGCTTCCGGACATGTGCTCTGGCGAACCAGAGCAGCGCACAGAAACGCCGTTTACCTTCCTGCCGGAGCAGTACCTATTTATCTACTTGCACTATGATGTGCTTTCGAACTGCTAGGTTGGCAGGATCAGGGACCGAGCAACGGGAGCTCACCCCGTCGCGGGGATTCTAACCGCCGACCTTCTGATTGGCAAGTCCTAGGCTCTGTGGTTTAACCCACAGCGCCACCCTCATCCCTAACATACATAAAAGGTAAAGGTACCCCTGCCCGTACAGGCCAGTCTTGACAGACTCTAGGGTTGTGCGCCCATCTCACTCAAGAGGCCGGGGGCCAGCGCTGTCCGGAGACACTTCCGGGTCACGTGGCCAGCGTGACATCGCTGCTCTGGCAAGCCAGAGTCGCACACGGAAACACCATTTACCTTCCCGCTAGTAAGCGGTCCCTATTTATCTACTTGCACTTTGAGGTGCTTTCGAACTGCTAGGTTGGCAGGCGCTGGGACCGAACAACGGGAGCGCACCCCGCCGCAGGGATTCGAACCGCCGACCTTTCGATCGGCAAGCCCTAGGCGCTGAAGCTTTTACCCACAGCGCCATAGCACAGCATTAAAAAAAAAGTAAGAGGAGCCTTGTATTAGGCCAGTGGTTCTCCCCAACTTTTTTCTTTCGGCCACAGCATTAGGCCAGTGGCTCACCTAGTCCACTATTCTGGTCTCACCGTGGCCAAACAGATGCCTTTGGAATGCCTAACAAGCAGGCCTTGAGCACAACAACACCCTCCCCACGTGTGATTCTGAGCAACTGGCACTCAGGCATACACATTCCGACAGCGGGACACATGTGGTACTGTGGTCTAAACCACTGAGCTTCTTGGGCTTGCCGATCGGAAGGTCAGCAGTTCGAATCCCTGCGACAGGGTGAGCTCCCATTGCTCAGTCCCAGCTCCTGCCCACCTAGCAGTTTGAAAGCACGTCAAAGTGCAAGTAGATAAATAGGTAGGTACCACTCCGACGGGAAGGTAAACAGTGTTTCCGTGCGCTCCGGTTTCCACCACGGTGTTCCGTTGCGCCAGAGGTGGGTTAGTCCTGCTGGCCATGTGACCCGGAAGCTGTCTGTGGACGAACGCCGGCTCCCTCTGCCTGAAAGCGAGATGAGCGTCGCAACCCCATAGTCGCCTTTGACTGGAGTTAACTGTCCAGGGGTCCTTTACACATTCTGACAGTGGAGGTAGAACGCACTATGCTGGTAGCTGTTGCTGCCTCTTGTAATGCATATCAGAGTTGCAAATCATGTTCTTAGGGCATGTTCCTGGTCCAGATGTGGCTTCCTAGGAGGTACCACCTCTGTTACCACCCTTAGAGTTGAAAGGGGAAATCTCATATGGGGCAACAGACCTTGTAGGTGGGTCACCTAAGTTGGGGAGTGTTTTTTTTATATAAATTCTGCCCCTCTGCCTTGTTCTACAAAGTGCTGCTGTAGTGAAACTAGTTTCTGACCTCAGTGTATTACGGCTCTAGAATCAACACTGTGCAAAATGACTGTGGGACCACTCCAATCAAGCTTCCAGTGCTATTGATTTCGGTGGGAGCATCATAGAATTGTAGAGTTGGGAGGTTCATCTAGAACAACCTGCTGCAATGCAGGAATGATAAGCATGTTCAGGGGCTAAGCTGGAATCGCATGCTGGATCTCTGTCAAATGTCTAAGGAGCAGGAGGAGGACAGAGAGAATTGGAGACAGATAAGATTAACCTTGGGACGCGGGTGGCGCTGTGGGTTAAACCACAGAGCCTAGGACTTGCTGATCAGAAGGTCGGCGGTTCGAATTCCCGCGACGAGGTGAGCTCCTGTTGCTCAGTCCCTGCTCCTGCCAACCTAGCGGTTCGAAAGCACGTCAAAGTGCAAGTAGATCAATAGGGACCGCTCCGGCAGGAAGGTAAACGGCGTTTCTGTGCGTTGCTCTGGTTCCCCAGAAGCGGCTTAGTCATGCTGGCCACATGCTCCGGAAGCTGTCTGCGGACAAACACTGGCTCCCTCGGCCTATAGAGCGAGATGAGCGCGCAACCCCAGAGTCGGTCACGACTGGACCTAATGGTCAGGGGTCCCTTTACCTTTTTAGCCTTTCGCCTGGCTACCCAGCTGCACATTAGCACCAGCTGAGGCAAAGAGAAAGGGCTAAGGGACCAGAGTTCAGGAGACAAGTGATGGAGGGGCAGGGAAGTCAATCACTCCTCCTCTCCCCTTAGCTTTTAGCCGTTCAACAGAGATCCAGGTTTCCATCAGCAGTTTCTGAATTCTAAAAGCTTTCATTTGGCTCCAATATAATTTCTACGTTGTCTTTCCATAACAATCCCATAATTGGTAGGTGGCTTTTCCTGCTTCGTTTCCTAGATATGTCATTTATTGAGGCATGTCTCCGGAACAGAGCCGCTGGAAATTACTTGTCTACATGCAGAAGACACTTTTCACGTGACGGGGCCTCAGGTAGGTGTGATTTTTACCTTGCGGTGTTGAAAGAGATGTTTTCAAGGCAGACGTGTGCTTGCGGCATCTCATTTTGGACACATCCAGCTTTGGAAACAGCACAGCTAGGAGGCATTGAACTGCTGTGCCAGAAGCTTTTGGGTGATGACAACTAGCAACAGCTTAGCCTCTATCGCGGCTACAGATTATTATTTTCCCTGTATCAAATTGATGAGTTCTGATGTTACCTTTTAATCAGTCCGCCTGCTCATCAGTCATTACACATTCAAGCTGATTTCCTTCATCTAGCAGATCAAATTAAATGGATTTATACAGTGGTACCTCTGGTTACGTACTTAATTTGTTCCAGAGGTCTGTTCTTAACCTGAAACTGTTCTTAACCTGAAGCACTACTTTAGCTAATGGGGCCTCCTGCTGCCGCCGCACGATTTCTTTTCTCATCCTGAAGCAAAGTTCTTAACCTGAGGTAATATTTCTGGGTTAGCGGAGTCTGTAACCTGAAGCGTATGTAACCTGAAGCGTATGTAACCCGAGGTACCACTGTATTAATGTGCATCAGTATTACTCCCAGTCTACATGGACTTTACAAATGGAGGCCAATTTAATATCTCTTCTCCTATTTCACTATCTCGTAATTCCTTTTGTAATAGTATGCCATATTTTTAAGTGGCATCCTTTGTGAAGGAGGCTAGCAGTGAGCACTTTTGCAGCTGTGAACAGATTCCGTTCCAGCTCTTGGCACTCTGAACTTGTGATGTTAAATTCTCAAGAATAATCCTTTGAAGAATATTCTCGATTAATGAGAATATTAGAGAATTTTCATTTAAAATAGGAGAATATTCATTTTAATGCATTGAAAATGATATAATTTTAATGCACTTTGAACCTTTCTAAGGTGATGGCACCAGTAATTGTCATTAAGGTTTGGTATAAGGAAACTCAGTAGCTAAATCATATTTTATTCTTCCATTAGAACATGTACGTGTTATAGGACAAGTCAAAAAAATACAATTGGCATGTTAAGGTTTGATACAAGTAAATTCAGTAATAGGCTATCTTGTGCTTCTAATAGCTCTAACACTTAATAACTGTTTTGGTGACCAAAACATAGCTTGATGAACAAAACTATATGCATACATATAAAAAAGAAGCCATTAAACTTAAATATATTATCATTATATGATAATATATTTCAGTATGTCAATCTCTGGTAAATGGCACCTTGTACCATTGAATGGCACTGCAAAAACCAGTTACTGGCACTAAATAAAAACATAGAAATGTCAACTGTTTAAATCAAGGCCACTTCACATGCTGTTACACATAATTGTATAGGCCTAGGTACTTTAAGTGTATAAAGCATTAAAGCTACTTTCTGTAAAAAATAAAATAAAAAAAATCACACTGTATGGCCAAGGGTATAGAATTGCTGAATAAGATCACACCAAAATAGAAAAAATGCTATTACATGTAGCTGAAATACATACGAATTCAAATGTTCATCAAATTAAATGAATAGCATTTTTAAAACTAAAAAAAAAAAATGTTTTCTGTAGCTCACATTTCAGAACTGCCAATGGTGAATGACACAATGCCCAGTAATGTAACTGGATTAAAAAAAAATCATTATTCATTACTTAAACTGGCAGTATCACAGCTTGACTTACTGTTTCTTACACTAGAATTTACAGTTTGTGGAGAATATTCTCACCTCACATCACTACTCTGAACACACAACATCCTTTGCAAAGCATTACACTTTCAGCACTGACCCAATCCCATTTTTATTAATCTAATTTGATTTTGCTGGGGTCAAGTACCGGTGGTATAACCCTTTGGAATGATTTTCTTCAGTGTTATAGTAATTTTGTGGTTAACACCCACAGGGAATTCTCTCCACAGAGAGGAGAGAGAATACATATCCAAGGTTAGTTCCTGATTCACAGACTGTAGTTTATTGTTAATATCTGTACTGGACCATAGTGGAAGGCCAGAATTTAGACTTGCTCTGAATAAATGAGGCTACTTTACACCAATCAAACCATTGGCTCATGTATCCCGATACTTCTTTCTATCCAAAGCGTTGGCAAGTTGTCTTTGCTGCAAATCCTCTGTGCTAAATTCTATGTGAATTCCATATTAGATTTCACGAACATCTGAGTAGCAAAATTGCTTTGGGAGAAAAGGGAATGTTAGTGTTAGGATCATTTTTAGTAACCAGTGTTCCACAGGTGCAGTATCGTTTATGTGGAACAACATCTGGGCTCACATCTGCAATACTGCACACCTGTGATGTGATAAAGCTCTTCTTACAGACGTTCTACCAATTTCGGTGAACCTTTTTTGCCTTTAATATGAATGCATTATGTAAATTAATAATAATCTGTGAAATTGTCGTGATTAATTATATTAAGTGGTTTTTCTCAGTTCGCTCAATTTAAGAAAGCTGTTTGTTCAGAACAGTTTTGCACAATGTGCTCCCAATGAATGCCCTTAGTGTTTGCAAAGCTTTGCCAGGCAAATGCTACAGCGGCCCTTTTTAAATACAAATGAGAGGCTGTTTATTCTTTGCCTCTGGGGGTGGATGCTGATTAGCAATTTCTGGTTACATGGCAAGATCTGCTTTGTTTCCTTCAGATAATTTCTGCTGCAGAAACCCTGACGCTGCATCCTTCCAGCAAGATTGCAAAAGAAAATCTGGATGTGTTCTGCGAAGCCTGGGAGTCACAGCTGACTGACATGTCCTTGCTCTTAAGAGAAATCAGTGATGTGTTTGAAGGAAGACGAGGTGAGAGAGCTGTTCTTAGATGCAGACAACCTACTGTCCTTAAATACAAGCTACCAACTTACAGCACACGCGTATTCTGAGTACCCTGGCTGTTACGCAAGATGGGTTTGAGGATCTAAGTTGAATCCTTTATAAGGTCAACAAAGGACAACTTGGGGTCACTTAACATTTTACGCAGCTCCATAGGTACCCTCGTATTTGCTACGTTGCAAATTGTAAAGCCTGCAGAGCAAATGCGCAGCTCCGAAAGCAGCAGATACATGACGTGGAGGCCCAGTTGGCAGAGCTTCTTGGCTTATGTCCACTGAGTGTTTAGAAACACGTAATTTACTATTGCATTTATTAGCCCAGCAAACTTTGGAGTACCCATGATGCTGTGCTAGTGTGAAGTAGTTAAATAATAACTCTAGATAGTCACTCTGAATCAGTCCGGTTTCACCTTCTTAGGGAAATATTGGCTGTGCTAGCACGTAGCGCTAAACCATGGTTTAGTCTTATGCGGACGAGTTGCAGGTAGCCATGGTCTCAACACGCTCCCTGCTCCCCTTGTGTGGCTGGAAGGAGCAGCTTAAAAGATTTTCATATCTGCTTTAGAGCTTTTTATGATGTCCGTACAGTGGTGCCTCGCAATACGAAATTAATTCGTTCCGCGAGTTTTTTCTTCTTGCGAGTTTTTCGTCTTGCGAAGCACGGTTTCGGAAAAGTTTTGGAAAAGCTTCAAAAATCACGAAAGTCTTCAAAAACCTCAAAAAAGGCTACCACACCGCGTGCTATGAGTTGCTCCTCGAAGTCAAGTCACAACTGTATTAACGGTTTTAAGAAAAAGGAAACAAACTTGCAAGACGTTTCCGTCTTGCGAAGCAAGCCCATAGGGAAAATCGTCTTGCGAAGCAACTCAAAAAAACCAAAAACCCTTTCGTCTTGCGAGTTTTCCGTCTTGCGAGGCATTCGTCTTGCGAGGTGCCACTGTACATGGGGAGACTGCATTTAGTTTTAGCTATGATGATGATGGTGGTATATAAATACGTATGTTCATCTGAAGATCACAGGGTGGTTCACAACGTAAATATACAAAATGAGAACACAAAATATATAAAAACAGACCAATAACCTCTCTCCCAGGGCCTGGTTATAGAGAAACATTTTTGCCTGGCACTGAAAGATATGTAATGGTTAGTGTGAGCAAGCCAGCTCCGAACCCATAGCTTATAAAGCTGACTTGCTTTAGTTAACAAAATTTACGGTTTGGACAGAAGTGGAAACTTCTGGCCTCCTGCTTGCAGCTGCGCCAACAGGGAGTGGGTAGCAGACAAATCTTAGGCTCACTGCAGCTCATGCTCATAATTCTAGCCGTGGTTTGTTGTTCACGTGCAAACCAGGCTAGCGAGTATGATTTTGAGATTGAGCCTTTTGTAAATCCGGGTTTCCTTGAATCCTGACAAGGAGCGTTCCATAAGTCTGGTGTGATCATGCTCACAGTTAATGCTTTAAAAGAAGTGAGTTCGAGCTTCGCACCTCAAGGAACCCTATCTCTTTGGATTGGACAACTGAGGAGCCCCTGCTAGTCAGCCTTGGAGCTCCTGCACATTGCATAGGATTCTGGGGGATGTTCCTGGGTGCATTTTCACTTCTTGGGCCTAGCAGTTGCTCCCTGTTAATTGGGGTTATATTGTATGATGTACCCTGCAGTTTCTCCCAAGGCTGCGCTTTGCAAGGAAGGCTTTTTAAAGTAGCTTGTCCAACAGTGAGGAGCCCTGATAAACCTTTGAAAGAGCTCCCGGGTGGTACAGTTTGAAAACCACTATTTTAGAGGGATAAATGTTATACTGTACAGTGAGAGTACTTTATAGGTTTTGCTCTTTATGGAGATGCAGCAATAAACTTTCAAGCCTTAATTTCAGGAAATGCTTAGTAATACAAAACAATGGAAACATTTATATTTTCTTTGCGAAGGGGTTGTAAAGAGACTCCTTTCTTTCTGTCTGACCTAAACTGTCCAGTGTTCTTGCAAAAGAAACACCCTTTTATTTCTGTACTGTCTGCTCTCATACTTCTCGCTCCACAATGTAGTGAATGTAGCTATTTGATTTTTAAACTGCTATCCTTTCTGCTTGGATGGGATCTCTCTGATGACTCTACGCAACTTTTGGCCTATTTTCTGTGGTGGGTAAGTCACCTGGTATTTGTATGGCATGTAGAAAAGAAAGTGTGAAAGAGCAAATCTCTCTCTTAATGTCTTGCCCGAGGCGTCGTTCGGTGTTAATTTATCAAGAGACTTCTCATTTCTAAGCATAATTTTAATTTTCTTCAGATAAGTTTAATTCCAGCTTTTCAGTTTTAGGGAGGGTTCCACCACCACCCCACTGAATTGTGCCACACTTCATTTTATAGAATTGTAGCATTTGATGTATTGATTCAGTTGTGCGTTTTATGGAAAACTCAGGGCAAAGAAATTAGGTTCGATATTAGAGCAAAACCTGACATACAATGGTAGCTTTTACTGCAGAGTGCCAAAGGGGAAGTCTGTGTTTAGTCTTTTATCCTCCCCAGTTTCCTATTGCATTTCTGCTAGGAGAGCCAAGATCTACAAGTGTCCTAACCAGTGCTTTTTTTTCTGGGGGGAGGAATACCCCTAAACATTTTGTGAATCTTTGTAAGGTAAAGGTAAAGGGACCCCTGACCATTAGGTCCAGTCGTGGCCGACTCTGGGGTTGCAGTGCTCATCTCACTTTATTGGCCGAGGGAGCCGGTGTACAGCTTGCAGGTCATGTGGCCAGCATGACTAAGCCGCTTCTGGCGAACCAGAGCACCACACAGAAACGCTGTTTACCTTCCGGCCGGAGTGGTACCTATTTATCTACTTGCACTTGATGTGCTTTCGAACTGCTAGGTTGGCAGGAGCAGGGACCGAGCAACGGGAGCTCACCCCGTTGCAGGGATTCGAATCACAGCGCCACCCGCGTTTGTGAATCTTTTTACTTTTCTCCATTTACTGTATTTATTTTTCCCAATTTGAACTACAAAATGGTGGTTTTCTTGAGTCAAAATGAGAGTACCCCTAAACATTTTTTAGAAGAAGGGAAAAAAAGCACTGGTCCTGACTATCTTGGACTTGTATACCTGTATAGGAACTGTGAAGTGTGGCTGGAAGCAGAAGCCATATAGAAACAGAGTTCACAGCAATGGAGAAGATCCCATTGTAGCTTCTGCTTCAATACTACATCAGCCTTCACCCATAGTGACATGTACAACTAGGCTTCCTCCTAGGTTGCTGTAGGGCGGGATGCCTTAGCAGTTCTGTAGAAGAAGAATTTCAGCAAGCGCAGCTTTTCTGCAGCACTACAGCTGCAGGAAGGGACGCAGGTGGCACAGTGGGTTAAACCACAGAGCCTAGGACTTGCCGATCAGAAGGTCGGTGGTTCGAATCCCCGCGACGGGGTGAGCTCCTGTTGTTCGGTCCCTGCTCCTGCCAACCTAGCAGTTTGAAAGCACGTCAAAGTGCAAGTAGATAAATAGGTACCACTCCGGCGGGAAGGTAAACGGTGTTTCTGTGCGCTGCTCTGATTCGCCAGAAGCGGCTTAGTCATGCTGGCCACATGACCCGGAAGCTGTACGCCGGCTCCCTCGGCCTGTAAAGCGAGATGAGCGCCGCAACCCCAGAGTCGATCACGACTGGACCTATTGGTCAGGGGTCCCTTTACCTTTACAGCTGCAGGACAAGCAGTTGCAGCCTGCCAAAATTATTCCCTTTGTGCAAAGAGAAAGCTCCCAGTCAAGTTCTCTACAGCAGAGCTCTTTTGCATCCTTAGCATAATGATTGACCCTGTCCAGGCAGGAGGACAATTTGATGCCCTGCTTGGAAGTTTGGTTTGAAAGAAGAACTGTGCATTACTCATTCTGGCTGGCTAGTGCTGCAAAACAGCCATTTGTCATTATGCATGCTTTGCTTGCTAACAATGGGAGCAGTTTCCCCCCGATCCTTCTTAAATGGGTATCTATTCCTGTTTGCCCCATGGTGGGTCATTGGATCAAATAGATATTTACAAAAGAAAAAGAAATGTCTTGAGGAATATGAGTGAGTGCTCTTCGGATACGGCATAGTGAACAGGAGATTGTGTTCCTCTTTCACCTGTTTTTTCCTCATTTCTATTCCTGAAGTATATTTAAAAGAACCAGAAGCACATTCGAGACAAGCTTCTATTTTGTCCTTTTGCTGCCTTGGTTCCATCTGTTGGGATCTAACATTGTAGTTCTGAAACTATTGGAAGTCACATCAAGAAGACTATTCATAGTCCGCAGAGGCATTGCTGGGTACTTAACACCCCTGATGATCCCTGTCTCTTAGGTGGAAGGAACTATTTCCGACTCATAGAATCAGGTTTCTGTTGGAATTATTGACTCTTCATCAAATCCAGAGTAGTGTTTTCCCATGTCGAACACAATGGCTGCAATCCACAGAGAGAATTGGTCGTGTTGAGGTTCCACTGAAATCAGTGGGGAAAGTTAATATATTCATATTTAAGTTCCATTTTAATTTCAGTCTGAATCTTAATGGACTGAGGCTCAAAGTGTAAAGGACAAGATGTTGTGTCTCCTAACTCTGCAGTGAGCACACACAAGAAAAATGTGACCGGTCAAATCCTGCTTCCCATGACTATAGGGACTATTTCATACTCTATGTGTTTTCTGTGGGCAGAAACGGTAACAAGCACAATTTTTGCTTAAAATTTGAAGCCGGTCTAAGCATTTGTCCCAGCTGACTCAGATGCACATTGCCCTAGAACAGGCAAGGCCAGACTCGGCCCTCCAGCTGTTTTGGGACTACAATTCCCATCATCCCTGACCACTGGTCCTGTTAGCTAGGGATGGTGGGAGTTGTAGTCCCAAAACAGCTGGAGGGCCAAGTTTGGCCATGCCTGCCCTAGAAGAAGGGAATATCAGTTTTCTTTCTAAACCCAAAGCACACCTCTCCAGTTTAGGAGTGAGTAATGCCTAAATGCCCTTAAACTTTCCATATTGGTACAATGTTGTTGCACTTTAAATTATATTGTATGAAATTGCCAATGGAATGTTTGCTATAATTTCATAGCAAACTTAGAAAATATTACATACTATGCAGTTATATTTTTTTGTGCATTTATGAAATGGCCTAAATTTTGTCCTCAAGGGGAATGGGGAAGAGGGGTAGAAATCTAAACCAATTTGCAACATTTAGACTTTTCCTACCAGAGCAAAGTGATTACTTGGCATTCAAGGAAAAATTCAATTCAGAACTTAAACCTGGGCGTGATTTATGCCCTTCCCCTCTGTATTTGCAGGGTAATATAGAGTCGTGTGTATGTGTCCCCATTTGGCAACATCCACAAGTTGTCACATGCTTAAAAGAAAATCCACACAACCAATTTATTATGTAAATATTGAGGGAGGAAAATTAACCTGCAGCACTTCCATCTCGCAAATTCTACAGGGACCTGGTTCAGCCAATCACAGATTATTGTGAATGAGCTGCATGAGACTTCGTCTTGCTCAATCCCACTGCCCACATAATTTCCAAGAGATGGAGAGAGAAAGCTTCTGTTCCCACTTTAGGACAAACCACAGTTCTTTGATGTGTATGGGTTGTCAAAGCCAGTTAATGCATACAAACTGCTTTCTAAAACCACATTTGGTCCTGGTTTGTTTTAACTAACTGTGGTTAGACCATAGCACAGCCTCCTGAGTTTGAAAGCAACAGGGAACTGTGCTTTTCTCCAAAGTGAAAATGGAATCAATCTCTCTCTCTCTCTCTCTCTCTCTCTCTCTCTCTCTCTCTCTCTCTCTCTCTCCTCTTCTTGCTCCTAGGAAAGGAGGGATTGTATCTGAGGCTCACACAGGCTTGGCCACAGTTGATCTTAAAAATGGTTTAGATCCGTGGTCCTCTAGATGATGATGTAGTCCCACCAGCATGGCCAAAACTCAGTGATGGTTGGAGTTGTTGCTCAACAACATTGCTACCCAACCCCGATTTAGATGATGCTCTGAATTGAGCCTGCCGATTATATATCATGTGGCAGAATTAATAAGTACCACAGGGTAAGGACCTAAATTAGGCTTGCATAGCAAATTTGTCTTGAAAGAATGTAATGTAACACCCTTCCTCTCCCTCCTTATGAATTGTTTCTTTCATGTATTTGTTTATCAGCCAAATTATGTTGTGGCTAGGACCTACAGCATAGCTCTGATTCTTAGTTTAAACTTAGTTTGAATAACGTTATCTGGCCTTGTTTGAAGCTGCAGCAAGTCAGCACTAGGAAAAAGCTGGATTCTAACACAGCAGAGGACATAGCACTGCCAAGGTGAAACGCTTTTAAGTCCCATTGACTTCTTAAGGGTGGTTTTCAGCACGTGTCTTAATTTTCCCATTCAGATTAATGGGATTGAATGTGTTTAACCAGGTCAATATGGCTTTTATCTTGAAAGCAGCAGCTGGCATTAGTTTCCAATTCAGCATATTAAATTGGGTTGTTGTGGCTTGGTGTTTGTTTTTAAAAGAACAAATTTATGTTCAGTGACAGAGCATAATATTTCACCCTATGGATTTATACAACATAAACTTCCTGGGTGTTCTCTGAATTCTTTTATCACAAAATTGAGCCTGCCTTCACCATTGCTAGAGAACAACAACAACCCAATAGTGGCATTCTAGATAACAGGAGGAAACATCCCTTAATTTCTTTGATAATAATTAAAGTTGCAATTAACACGTCAGTTTGTTCTTGTCAGGAAGATAGCTAAGCCTATATACTAAGTGGACTGAAAGTTTAGCGGGCTAGTCCCCTCCACCTGCCCCTTAATTTACAAACTTTATATTTTTTACGGTAATGTAATTTTTAAAGCTGTCACTTTACAACGCGGGGGATGTGATGGGAAAGGTATGTTTTTGATGTCTGCGAGGCAAACGCTCTCTGCTTTTTGGTGATGGTTAAAGACTGAAGAGCAATCAAAATGTGCTGGACACTTTCTAATAAACCAAGTGTATTTTTACAACGAACTGCTTGGCTCCAATCTGATCTGTGTTTTCTTTCCTTCATGGGAGAAGCCGGAGTGCCGTGGGCTCTATTTCAGCAGCGACTCCGCAACTCCCTCGGCTGACGCCACCCCTGTTGAAATGTTTCTCAGCTTCCTCCTCTGTCTCAACCACTTCCATCTTTCCATTCTGCTTTCCCTTTGCCAGACATTCTGCCCTTTCCTCATACCATGTTGAGGGACTCTCATCCTTTGATTGACAGTAGCCAGGGGTGAGCGAAGGCACCATGAAGGAACACTGAGCTGGACTGATCTTTGGACATCCACAGTGGCCATGCCTCAGCCACCCCCTTGTTGGAAATAACTCACAGATATTAGGTTTATGTTATTGGGCAAATTTTGGCCACAACTTTATTGAATTACAGAATGTGAGTGGTATTGGCTTAGGCATTGAGTGGACCCAACTATATTTGACTCCTGCCCGCTGTGCAGGAAGTCCAGTAAGGGTAAACCACCGGTAGGGGGAGCCCTGTCAATGCGAATCAACTCAAGCTCCCCCTGGTGTTCCCGTCGGGGTCATGTCAAGGCCTTAGCCCCCCAACCGGGCTTCGGACAAGATCAACACCCCCGGATTCCTTTAACGGAATACCCTTAAGCATGGAGGGGCAGGTGATGGCCACACCTCCCCTCCCCCACACAAGGTCAAACAATGCCTAACCGCAACCCTAACAAAGTTGTGGTGATTGCTACGGGGTAGGCGAAAACGAAGTGGCCATTTGCCAAGTGGGAAAATTCCTACCAGGCTCCTTGGACAACCAAGGCGACCAACCAAAGTCCATAGCAAGGCCAGTGCGTAACCTGCAAATAGGGAGGGAGGGCGGGTGATTGAGGAAGCGAGCCAAAGAGGAAGTCCTCTGGCTCACTCCTCCATTTAAACGGACCCGGCCACGCCCCCCGGCCAGCGGGTTGGCTGGCCGGGCTCTGATGTGGCCGGGATCCCCCAGGCAATGAGGGACAAAGTCCCCTGCCCCCGGTAGGGAGTGGGTGGCCATGCGGTCCGCCTCAACTCCTCCCCACTGGGAAGTGGAGCAGATCTACCACCTAGTAGAGCAACACCTGAATCTCATGGCCTGGGATATTCTCTCCAGTCTTCTGTACATGGGTTGGTCCAGCAGACCAAATTGCTTTACTTGCTCCATTGCCTGCCCTCCGTTCTGTTGCACAGATGATGATAGATTATGTCACAGATCTTCCAGATCCTCTCCGTTTTTGTGGGCATGAATGGACTTTGTGCAGAGGGCTTGTAGCACACAAGATTATCTGTGCTGTGGAAGGGTTGTATGCCAAACCTTCCTCTCTAATAGAGCACCTCCTGGAAAGCATGTCTCAGTCACGATGGTGGCTAAACTTTTAAGGAGTACAGTCGTACCTTGGTTCTCGAATGGAATCCATTACGGAAGTCTATTCGACCTTCAAAAATGAAGGCGCGGATTCCGATTGGCTGCAGGAGCTTCCTGCACTCAATCGGAAGCCATGTCAGACGTTCGGCTTCCAAAGAACGTTCGCAAACCGAAACACTTCTTTCCAGGTTCGTGAGCCAAAACGTTCGAGTCACAAGGCGTTCGAGAACCAAGGTACGACTGTACAGCATTTCTGGTTCCCAGTATAACTAGCTATTTTACTAGCATGCTAACACAGATTGTGACTCTCCAGATAACGCCACTCCAAATACTATTTCTTAATCGCCTTGGGGGATGACATTCAGTCGGTTTTGCTAGCAGATCTCTCCATTCGGTGACACTCACAGCAGGTCAGATGTTAATTAGATGTGTGTTTAAACTTTTCTGGTTTGAACGCCAAGCTCTTTTGGGCCACCCAGGTGCCATCAGAATCCTCTGAATAATGCTTCCGTGGACATGCAACCACCTCACCCCTCCTTGAAAACTACTGATGTAGGGCAGGAAAGACAACTAGCTGAGATTATCAGAAATTACCAGGAGAAAGGCAGACTCCCAACTCATTTCTGCACTTGCTTGTGTGATGTGGGCGTTCTTTGCCCCATGAAATAGTTCCCTCCCTCTCCTTGGGCATTCAGAAAGGTATTAGAAGATTTTAGAAAGAATGTCGTTGAAAAGGAAGGGGGCCTACTCAACATACCAGGTCTTCAAAGAATCAAATTAAAGCAGTAGCAGAATTTCCCTTTTATATACTGAAAGCCATGGCAGAATCCGTGAAGAGGAATTGTTAGAGGTAGGTAGCTCTTTTCTTTAAAAATATATTTTTTTAAGCCTAAAGAAATGAAAGAAGTAAGTCTGAGGTGTGCATGAAAGCTACATGACAAATTTTAATGTGTTGTTCTTAGGAGAGAAGCGTGTGTACCTGTCGCTGCCCAGGCCAGGGGTAAGTTCACTTTTGTGGGGTTGCTGCATTTACCTTTTTTCATACACTAAAAATTAATTTGCTCCATTCCACATACCTCCTCCTTATTTGCCACCATACTCTAATTTTTAAAAATCTAGTTTTCTTTCGCCCCCTTACAGAGGGTTAGTGAAAACCTCATATTGCCATCCTGGCTATAGAAGGTAGTTTTCTTTGAGGAAGCAGCAGTAACTAAACAACAAAGAAAGTTGGGTAATCCTTTTCCCCGCCTTCTCAACTGCAGTGTTTTGCCTAAGACAGGGGTCAGCAAACAGGGGGCGGGTCCACTGTCCCTCGGATCTTGTGGGGGGCCGGAATATATTTTTTTGGGGGAAATGAACAAATTCCTATGCCCCACAAATAACCCAGAGATGCATTTTAAATAAAAGCACACAGTCTACTCACGTAAAAACACGCTCATTCCCGGACCATCTGCAGGCCGGATTTAGAAGGCAATTGGGCCGGATCTGGCCCCCGGGCCTTAGTTTGCCTACCCATGGCCTAAGACCCCTGTAGTTCAGTTCATGACATTGCCTACTGAAGTATGTTATCGCAGGTGATATAGGAGACTCTGTTTCATAACCTGGAGAACTGCTGTCAATCAGAGTTGACAGTTTTGTGCTAGCTGCCTGACTTACTGACATATTTAAAAATCTGAAATTTTAGCAACAGCCATGGGTCACTTCTATTGTGTTCAGTGAGCCCATAAGGAAGGGGTTTTAAAAAGCAGGAAGTCCATGAGAGGAGAACAGCAGTTGGTTCATTCCAACACTGACCCAACAACATAATCCTTCACTGAATTCAATCATTTTGAGTCGGGTCGGAGGGAAGAGCTTTATTGAAAAACAGCACACATTCTTGGGAATTCACCTGTTGACTCCATTCCTCATCCCTTTGACAAATTAATAGTAACAATGGAAGCAAATTCCATTCGGTAAACCTTTTCTTTTTCTTTTTAACAGAAGCATAATGCAAACATGAAAGCCTTAAAGCCAGTCAGGCTTGATAGTGAGGTAAGATACTACTTAATCCGCTAGTGCAATTTTTCTGCACAGTAGTTGTGAAGCTGAATAGTGTATTAAGCAAAAAGGAAGTAACTTTTATCACTTGCAGGAGCAAATGAAACTTGGGAAACTAGGCTTGGAACTGCATAAACTGACAACGCGGGTTGACTCTGAGATGGAGAAGTGGGATGATCCTGAAAACGAGATTGTACGGCATGGGCAAGGCCTGTCTAGCATGGCCTACTCTATGTTCTTATTTACAAGGTAAAAACAAAAGGGTCAGGGAGGGAGGGAGGGAGGAATATTAAGGAGAGAATGGTTTGAAGAAGAAACCATGGTTTGAATGAATATTATGAAGAGAACCGGTTTGAGGAAGCTGTTCTTGTTAGCCTTCGTCTTTCTGCCCTCCCCTTGCCAAACTTGACACTGTATTTTCCTTGGGGCTGGGACCTCTCTTTGCTCATGTTAATTTGAAGGCTAAACATGCATCTGAACATGAAAATGGCCACTGTATTCCCTTCCCCTCTCCCTCGTATCATTGAGTGAAAGCTCCTAGAACTTGACTCAGATTATAATGTTCTTTTTCTCCACAATGCTGGCTGGCAGGCAGGGAAAGGGGGTGGCAGACGTCATAATATTTCACAAGCCCTACTTTGATGCTATAAAGGGACAAAGGGAGCTAAATGCACCGGTGGTGCCTTTTGCAGCAGATGCATATTCAGCATAGTGCCCTGAAAAGCGCCATCGTGTGCAGTGATTATGCTGTGTAAAAATATATACATTACAGCTTTTGGGTGTTGAGGTATAGCGCGAGCCATCTGGCTGCAGAAACGGCTGCCTAGGACAGAAGCTCTTTAGGGGCATTAATGAAATACCACACAGTCCTGTCAGGTGGTTCCTAGGATCTCTTGCAATGTTGTAGGGGATGTTGTGGGTCTACTGAGTTCCACCTAAGATAAGGTTACCAATTTTTTCTTCTTCAAAGAATCCGGGGAGCTTTTTTGTTTTTCCCCCCGCGCAGCCTTCCTCTGGACCTCAGCTTGCTCTCTTGGAGAGCTAGCCACCATGGAGTAGGCTCGGGTCGGGCCTGGGCTTGACCACGTGTCCTTGCCTTCCCGGTGCTCTCCTACCTCTCCTACTCAGTGGCAGCGGCAGCAGGGGCGCAGCAAGGTCAGGGCTCCCCTCTTTTTTTCTCCTTCCTCTTTCTCTGTTTCCCTTTTCCTTCTCCTCTCCTCCTTCTCACTGCGTCAGCTCCAGGGTTTTTACTGGCCCTGGAGCGCCACTGGGCAGTTGGCCGGACACTCTCAATCCCGGCTCATTTTGGGTCACACGGGGGGGGGGGGTGTCAGCGGTTCCCCCAGTTGACGCACCAGGCGTCCCCGGTTCCCCCGTGGCAGCGGCAGTCTCAGCAGCCCTGAGCCAGCCTGGTAGTGCAGTTGGCTCTGGCTGGCTTCAGGAGCTGCTCTCTGCCGTGACAGCCGCCATTTTGCCTTGCCGGAACTCCCCATATGATGTGTCTTGTTTGTTGAACCAATCACGCAGCATTCATTCCCTACTAATAAATCCACAACACTTAAAATATAAATCCAAGGGCATTAAATGAAATCCAGGGATATTCCGGGGACGGATTTTGTCCGGGGCAGATTTGTAAAGCCGGGGACTGTCCCCGGGAAACGGGGACGTCTGGTAACCATAATCTAAGAGTTGCCCCACCCTCTGCAGCATTGAAAGAGATCCCAGAAAGCTTGTCTTGCTGCCCCGCCCCATCCCCACTTGTGTGTACTTGGTTTTGTATCCTGGGAAAGGCAGCCATCAGCAAAGTCTGAGAAGTGTCTGGCTGGCATTTTTAAGGTCACAGCTTTTTCCTCTTCTGAACACCAGCAAGACAGGAAAAGCTTATTTTTTTTATTTAAAAAGCCTCATTACACTGGCCTTCCATGTTTCACCCTTAGTTGAAATCTTACTTTGCACCTTCAAGTTAAGTAACCTGGATGTAGTTACAGCGAAGACAGCTCGTTCTCATGCCGCGAGGGATGTTTTGATAAAAAAAATCACTGTGCTCCTGTATCTTCAGCCAAAGCGATGCCCAGGTCTGGAGCAGAACCGAGAGATTGAGCTGTTCTCTCATTGGCAGAGCCTCTTCTGGGCCACTCAAGCACAGATAAGGAAACTCCAGAAGTTGTCAGACTTGCAACTCCAGTCAGTCCCAGCCAGGAATAGTGAGAGTTGCAATCCAACACCTGAAGGACCACAAGTCGCCCACCTCTGCACAAAAATTTCAGCTTCTCTGCCCCAGCCCTCCAGAGCCCTAATCACAGGGCTTTGTAGATTAAACTGTCTTTAGTGTGTTGGAACTGTTACTATCATTATTTCTCTCTCTCTTTTCTTTAGAGGGGAAGGGCTGCTGAAAACCACCCAGGATTTATTTCAGCAGTCAGAGGTAATCAACAACCGAAAGAGTGTTCGAAAACTACTTTCAAGATGCTGTCAGCAAAATGTTTTAATTAATTCCTGGAACAACGTGAGGTTCTGTTAGCAAAAACACCGAGCAATTAAACCATGGGGCTTTTGGGTTGCCTAGTGAATATAGCACTTTTTGTCTAGGTTTATATTTTCCCTAAACCTTATTCCTCTTAGGTATCATTTAGAGGTGGGGGAAATCTAATAAGTACATTTGTATGTATCTTGAGGGGTTTTTTTGTTTTTTAAAAAAAGGTTTTCCGTATATGTGAACTGTGTATTGATTGTAATTTTTGGAGCGGAGAAGAGAAGTGGGGCTTGCTTCATTCACCCCCCAGTTGATTTTTAATCTTTCCTCCCAGTTGTATTCTGGTGGGAGACAGTAAGAATATTGCTGTGTTGCCTCCCATATATATATATCGTTCAAACTATGGACATGTGATCCTGGATATACCCGTGCCTCCATTTCTCTTTCGGAGCAGGTCTTTTCGAGTCTGCAGGTCAGGATAGGCTACAAGGAAAAGGGAGGGGACTGCAGACAGCCAGTGGATGTATTATTAAATACACACTCTCTCTCTCTCTTACACCAGTGTATTTATTTTAAGTGAGCTGTCTCTCTTAAACAACAGTATTTTAAAGTGTATTCCTTTTGAGCTGCATTTGACTTGTTCAACAGGTTTCCAGGCCTGTTGTTGAGAGTAGGACCTCCTTTCATCTCTTGTGTTGGCTGTTTTTTAGGTTTGCATTTAACTTTCCCCCTTCTGTCGTAGGCCTTTGCTGCAGAAGGACTTAAGCTTGCCTCGGCTCTCCTTGCGTTTTCTAATCAGGTACCGTACAAATTCCAAACATGAAAAGAAGTTGCGTTTAAAAATTTATGTTCTTGATGCTTCCATACCTGGTTTCTAGCCTTTTCCCCTTATATAAATTCCGTCATGTTTAGCTCTCCTATCTTAGAGGCATCTATGTGTTCGTTTCAGCTGGAAGATGACGACAAGCCATTGGTTCTACAAGAGATTGACAAAATGGTCCCTGCGTATCAGCAGCTTCAGGTAACAGCCAAAACCCCGGTTCAGGGTAAAACTGCAACTTTCACAAAGGTAAGCTTCTAAATAAATTTTAAACACAGTTTTGCCAAATGAACTTGCTCTTTCAATCTTCTCTCTTTTTTGTAGTCGAAGGAAGAAAACCTAGTGTTAGTCATGCCGAGAGTAGACTCAGTGAAATCAGTAAGCCTGCTTTGAGTATGACTAATGTTGAGGATCACACATATTATTTAGCTGTGTGTATTGAATAGAGCAGGCAGAGGTTGTATGGTGCTATTATGTCGCTAAAATTAGCCAGGTTTCAACTTGGGAGGCCATTTTACAATTATACGGTGACGCTTAAAAACAAATCGTAGCCAAACAGGTCTTCTGGAAACAAATTTGGTGCTCCAAAAAGTTTCCTTGTTCCAACAAAGAAATAGGGGTCCCAGATTTTTAAAAAGCAAGGACAAATCTTGTTATGCTATCAGCACCTTGTAGAATGTATGCTCAGGCCTGTTTTAAAAGCATGTCTAATGTAATACAGATACCATGAATTGTCTTCTTTTTAAGCTCACTGCAAACTCTTCAGCATATTGCTTGCTTCCCAACCCTAAAGAAAACAAAGATGCCTGTTTTCCTTTCTCAAAAGTAATAATAAATGGTGGGCTGTCTTAAATTTGTGCATTTTTTAAAAGAGAGAGGTTACCTTTTTAAGGACTCTCCAAAAACAATACAAAAATCACCTTTAAGGCATTGAAAAAATGTAACAGGTTCATTGCTTGAAAGCCAGACAGCTAGTTCTTTGATTAAAGCCTTTCAATCCAATTCAGTCCTGCAAGAGAGCAGTTTAAGAGAGCTGGGACCATGCAAGTGTGCTATTGTATTCTTGTTCCTTTAATTAAGGCTTTTGCAGAACTTCCTACTGGATCATGCTCGTTATCCTTAAAAGGTGACGGTGGAGGGAAGAAATCGTAGTGGAGTTTGAGCCGCTAATAAATGCGTTTGATAAAAGTGCGAAAGCAATTTTCACAGGGGGCGTTTCGTGAACTCTTTTGTGATGCCCAGATTTACTCTGTCTTTAGGTGGACGCGTGCATTCACAAAGCAAAGTATATTCTCGATCTGCTGGCCCAGGTTCTTCCACTTAGCTGCAGGTTACTAAGAAAGGTGAGTTGGCACGCACACAATATCTAAACATAGAGCCAGTGTCGTGTAGTGGTTAAGAGTGGTAGACTCGTAATCTGGGGAACTGGGTTCACTTCCCCGCTCCTCCACATGCAGCTGCTGGGTGACCTTGGGCCAGTCACACTTCTCTGAAGTCTCTCAGCCTCACTCACCTCACAGAGTGTTTGTTGTGGGGAGGAAGGGAAAGGAGTGTTTGTTGTGGGGGAGGAAGGGAAAGGAGAATGTTAGCCGCTTTGAGACTCCTGAAGGGGAGTGAAAGGCGGGATATCAGATCCAAATCCAAAATGAACCCATTTCTGGATGGAGCAACAACTTGTATTTATAAATTACGTTTATTGCAGCACAGAGGAGGAAATGACTATCTTAGAGCCCATCATCCATGGAGAGAAAATGGCCTGCAGACCGTAGCAAGAGAAAGTGGTGGCCTGGCTGGAAGAACAGACTCCTTTGGGATAAAATCCTTGGAACAACACATCGCATACCTCAGTGTTTTGGAGAACAAACCGTTCTAAGGCGCTTTTTGGGAACAAAAAGATTTCCATATGAGAGTTTGTACACTAAGCCTCTCCTAATTGCTTTCTTTTGAGAAAGGTGAAACCAGGATAGAAAAAGCTCTTGTAACCTTTTCACATCTAATAGATGTCATGGTACTTGGCAGATAACAAAAGCAACACACAGCTTTAAATGGCTGCATATTTTTGTAAAATGAATACGTTTTTTGTTCACTATTAATATGTACCGCTATTTTTGTAATCCCGTGCATTTATGAATGTCTTACTCTACAACCCCAAAGATGCTGCTATAGATCTTTATGCACATGAACTGGATAGTCTTTTGATATGCTACATGGGGGGTGGGTTAAACTACTGGTATTTTGTTGTTTGTTTAACAGTCACCACTAAGGACCCTGGTCTGAAAATAGGTATTGTGGAAGAGTGTTTTTGAAAAGGGAGTAATGGATGGGACTAGAATCTATCCCCCTCCCTCCTAAAGTGACCTGCAAACAGGTTCTTTTGCCACAGATCCTACTTTTACCTTGAGAGGAGGAAGGGAAAGAGGCAGGCATAGTCTCTTTAGGGGCAAGATTTGGTCCCAATGTCTCCAAGCTGCTGATTTCTTCTGAAAGCATTTGTTAGTTACAAGAAAGCTTTAAGGATAATAGCCTTCTGAAAACCTCACTCTTTTTTTTAAAAAAAGAACACCAAATTTACCAACTTACAGTGGTGCCCCGCAAGACGAATGCCTCGCAAGACGAAACACTCGCTAGATGAAAGAGTTTTCCGTTTTTTGAGTCGTTCCGCAAGACGAATTTCCCTATGGGCTTGCTTCGCAAGATGAAACGTCTTGCGAGTTCTTGCGAGTTTGTTTCCTTTTTCTTAAAGCCGCTAAGCCATTAATAGCCACTAAGCCGCTAATAGCCTTGCTTCGCAAGACAAAAAAACGGCAAGACGAAGAGACTCGCGGAACGGATTAATTTCGTCTTGCGAGGCACCACTGTACAAGGCTAAAAATAAAGGTTTTCGTTAGTGCTGATGAAGCCAACTAGTTAAGAGCTTGTGTTTGTCTTGTTTGTTTTCATAGTACGCTCACACCAGAGTCAGTAAAATTTGTGTCGTATGCTCTAAGCAATTTTATCAGAAATATCTCCCAGGGAGTTTAGGGAGATTTCCCTCCCTAGCTTAGGACTGCAGCTTTAAGTGTAAAATTTGATCCTTCAGTTTTAGGTAGCTAACAAAGGTTATATAATTCCACTTGGAAGTAAATTGTAGCTGTTAAAACCAGTCACTACAAAGAGGGCATTACTTGTTTTGTAGAAACACTAAACATTCTTCATTCTTGTTTGAGTTGTATGTATGTATGTTTGCTGTAGTTATTGAAGTGCTCTGGTCTGAAGTCTCGCTATTATTCAACCCCTATTTAGAGCAGTGTTTCCCAACCGGTGTTCCGCGGCACACTAGTGTGCCGTGAGACGTTGCCTAGTGTGCCGTGGGAGGGAGGCGGGCGAGTCGGGCGGCGAGAGGCGGGGCGGCGGCGGCGAGCACACGCGGGGCAGCGAGCGAGCGAGCTCCCACATCCCATCGCCGCGAATGCAGGCTTTCGCTGAAGCCTGGAGAGCGAGAGGGGTCGGTGCGCACCGACCCCTCTTGCTCTCCAGGCTTAAGGAAGCTATCCCCCCAGCCGCGCAAGCTCCCAGAGCGATGCGGAAGGTGCGCTCACCTTCGCCATCGCTCTCCGACCTGCTCTGGGGGCTGGGGACGGGAGAAGCTCCGGCTTCCCCCGCCCCCAGCCCGCGCAAGGTCCCAGAGCGATGCGGAAGGTGCGCTCACCTTCGCCATCGCTCTCCGACCTGCTCTGCGGGCTGGGGACGGGAGAAGCTCCGGCTTCCCCCGCCCCCAGCCCGCGCAAGGTCCCAGAGCGATGCGGAAGGTGCGCTCACCTTCGCCATCGCTCTCCGACCTGCTCTGCGGGCTGGGGACGGGAGAAGCTCCGGCTTCCCCCGCCCCCAGCCCGCGCAAGGTCCCAGAGCGATGGCGAAGGTGCGCGCACCTTCGCCATCGCTCTTCGACCTGCTCTGGGGGCTGGGGACGGGAGAAGCTCCGGCTTCCCCCGCCCCCAGCCCGCGCAAGGTCCCAGAGCGATGCGGAAGGTGCGCTCACCTTCGCCATCGCTCTCCGACCTGCTCTGCGGGCTGGGGACGGGAGAAGCTCCGGCTTCCCCCACCTCCAGCCCGCGCAAGGTCCCAGAGCGATGGCGAAGGTGCGCTCACCTTTGCCATCGCTCTCGGACCCTTTCTGGGGGCTGGGGGCGGGGGAAGCTCTGGCTTCCCCCACCCCCAGTCCGGCAAGCTCCGGGATCCACTCTGGCTCCCATTCTGGGGGCTGGGGTCGGGGGAAGCTCGGGCTTCTCCCGCCCCAGCCCCGCGTCTGGGGGGGGAAATAATTTTTTCCCCTTTATTTCCCCCCCAAAATCTAGGTGCGTCCTATGGGCCGGTGCGTCCTATAGGGCGAAAAATACGGTAGTCAATATAGGCACAGAGTTAATTTTTTAAACATTTTCTAATGGTGGTGTGCCTCGAGATTTTTTTCATGAAACAAGTGTGCCTTTGCCCAAAAAAGGTTGGGAAACACTGATTTAGAGTCCTGCAAACCTGAGAAACTTAGGCAATGACTAATGTGGCTGTGGTTAATTTCTCCTTTTTATTCTCTTACCTTAGGATAAAAATTGAGACATTTAATGGCAAAAAGAGAATTCCCAATCTCATTTTACCCTTTTTGTGCAAAGTATGGAATTATTTTTGCAAAGTATGGAAATATTTTGTGCAAAGTATGGAATAAGGGCTTCCCTGCCATTTATTTTCTGTCCTTATCACCTGCTTGCCTCTTTTCTTCTGCAACGCCAGTCCTATCCTGAACTCTCAATGGAGGCAAAAAGCTGGTTGTGTAGAACAGTGTTTCCCAACCTTTTTTGGGCAAAGGCACACTTGTTTGATGAAAAAAATCTCGAGGCACACCACCATTACAGCCCCGTGACGTCAGCGCGCAGCGTCACGCTGGGAGGGACGCACGAGCTCCTTCTCCTGCTCGTTCAGGGCCGGGTCGCCGCCGTGAGGGAAGGGTGCCGGGGCGCTGCTGCTGCTGCTGCCGCCGCCGCTCCCGGCAGGCATGGGCCCAGCTGAGGCGGCGGCGGCTGTTGTGGTGGTGGCGGCGATAGCGGGCGGAGGAGGGGGCGGCGGCGGGGCCGAGGTGGCCGGCGGGGGAGGCGGCGGCGGGTGGAGCAGGAGGGCGGCCGAGGCCGGTGAGGGAGTAGGGTTGCCCGGGGCTTGAGGAGCCGTCGCCGGGAGTTGCTGCTGCTGTTGTTGCTGCTGCTGCCCGGACATGCCGGCCTCCTCCTCGTCCACTGTCTCGCGCTCCTCCCTTTTGCGCGTGCTGTCCCGCTGCCGCCCCATTGGCCGGGTCCTGTCAGCTGATCCTGTGTTATTTCCTGTGTGTGTGTGTGAGGGGAGAATGGAGAGAGAAACCTCGGCACCACCACCGCAGAGCCGCCCCCGGCTCGACGCGGATCCTCGCCGCCGCCGCCCCGCCTCTCGCCGCCCGACTCGCCCGCCTCCCTCCCACGGCACACCAGGCAACGTCTCGCGGCACACTAGTGTGCCGCGGAACACCGGTTGGGAAACACTGGTGTAGAAAAGGGGCAAGTGAGGAGAAAGGTTAAGCATCCCACTCAAATTATGATGTGACTGAAAAGGCCATATTAGCTAGTGAGTGTCTAGTCATTGCATTAGCTACCATCCGCAATATTTCGCTCAGGTGTACATTTGAACAATAAACTCTTCCAAATAACAGACTTGTTAATGGTAGATAGATGCCACTCTGTCAAAATTTAGTCTTCACTTAATAAAGTAGAGGGTGAACTGATAAACTATAGGTAAACAAAACTTCTGTTGATACTGGAAACACGGTTGTATTTTGGCATTCCCCCTTTAAATGCCACAGTCAAAGTTAAGTTCTCTTGAAGTTCCACTGATATCACTGGAGATTTAAGTACTAAGTTGACAGATTGTTAATAAAAGAACCTTCACAGTGCTTTTTTTAAAAATTGCTTGCTTGCGCTGAAAAAGAACAAATTCTCAGACCTGTTGCTATTTGAAACTCAAAGCGTTTTTATTCAGTTCTCCTTTCCGCGTTAAGTACGAAAGCGGTGATGTCACTTTATTGTGGGGTATACTGGAAGCAGTCTCGCTCAGTTCATGCATCTGCTAGTGAAATGCTGAGTTCTCATTCTGTGCATCTTATCAAGAAACGGAATTAAAGCGTTTTGACAAAACATCTTCGTATTCTTTCCGCGTCAAAAGTCCCTGAGTTACGCTTTTACTTTCTTCAAACTTTGGCAACACAACTGCTATGTACCCATCTGTGGAAGGCTAGAGGGGAAAACATGAGAAGTGAGACAGAAAGTAAGAGAGAGAATGCAGAAGGAAGAGAAGGGCTAAGAGCTAGTTTAAAATTCTGACCTTGGCTTGCAGCAAAGGTGGACTGTCCAGAATGTTTTCATTCACTTCTATCAATCTCCCTCTTATACAGCTGCAAAGAATTTCCAGTTTAGTAAACTCTCGAATGGTAGAAGCAACGCAAGGTAAACAAAACTTGCCTGCTTACCTATATATGGTATACTCTTCTCCATCTGAGCAGAAAATTCGGCACAAAGGGGAAAGTTCTGTTAGGAACTGAGCACCCTGGGGAGAAACGGAGGTTATACAAATTAAGACTCTGAGAAAAGGAAACTCTGCAATAGCCTGACAGCTTTCATTGCCAGCAGTAAAAGTCCAGGGACCTTGTTTTATTGTTCTGAACAAAAAACTTCTAAATTAAGCAAGATGGCGTTTCCTTCCTTAATGTGGACAAAACTGATAGGCATTAGATTCTGAATGCCAGGAAACCCATGTTCAGAGCCAGGGTCCTTTACGAAACCCATTAGGCTGCCAGTATAAACTTACATCTATTGTAACCTGACATTAAGCCTTTGGGATGAGGAGGAAGGATAGCATGATTTTTGCTGAGGACACCCTTCTCCTTCAGAGATATGCTTACAGTGGTGCCCAAGTCAATTGACACCAGGATTAGAAATGGGGGGGGAGGGGGGCCGTCTTCTGTGGTCTCTGCAAGCAACTTGTGGTTCGCGGAGACAGTAGACAAAACAGCAATGGATGTGTCTCATTCCTTGTACAGTATGCTGCATTCTGGCTCCAGAGATTTTCACACACACCCCTCTCAAGATAAGCAGAAGACATCATCACACTTCAAGGACAAAGTCTAGCCAGGCCAAAACAAGTGAAGTTGAAACAGAGCAGGATGGGTGGAGAGGGTTTTGTGAGAAGATAGGGAGGTTTAGAGCATGGGTAGGCAAATTAAGACCCGGGGGCGCGATCCGGCTCAATCGCCTTCTAAATCCGGCCTGCAGACGGTCCGGGAATCAGCGTATTTTTACATAGAATGTGTCCTTTTATTTAAAATGCATCTCTGGGTTATTTGTGGGGCATAGGAATTCGTTCATTTTCTTTTTTCCCCAAAATATAGTCCAGCCCCCCGACAAGGTCTGAGGGACAGTGGACCGGCCCCCTGCTGGAAAAGTTTGCTCTAGGCCAGGGGTCTGCAACCCGCGGCTCCGAAGCCACATGTGGCTCTTTTACA